ACGGCCTCATTATGATCGGTAAGAAGGACTCATCAGACGTTTGGCTGTCACTTTGCATTTGGCTTTGGAACAGGCTGCATTACCAAGGTATAACAGCAGACACATGTCAATCACTGGCAGTGGTCACAAGTAAATCTAGGTAAATGTTAACAGTGGCTCTTTATCTTTACTTCAATGCTTTTAGTTTCTTTTTTCATTTCCTTTTTTTATTAAGTATCCCCACCCCGCCCCCAAAGAGTTGCATGCCTTTTGCAACTTTAATATTTTTTTAAAACACCGGCAAGGTTGGTCCCAACATTTGATGCTTTCGATTGCAACGTCTAGAGTGATGAGATTCTTAAAGTTATTGTGCAACGGAATTATTGTAAAGACCTATTGAATGGCAATACAAATAGCGGTTTATAAATTATTGTTGTTATTATTGTTATTATAATTGTCATTATGATTACCATTATCATCATCATTATCATTATCATTATATTTTTCTATATTATTAGTAGTAGAAATGTTTATTACTGTCCTTGATAATATTGCTGTCGGAGTTATTTTAGTTGATGTTTTTGTTTTTTTAAGTGCTAGGTGTATTCTACTGCTTGTCCATTATGTTGAACTGTCAAAGTATTGTGTAGTTGATAGCAACATTTCCAACTTGTATTCAAATGTCCATTTCAGTGGTTGATGGGATTAACCCCTGACAAGTGTAATATACCGTCTACGTTTATTATTACATAGACTGCTGCCTTTCTTTGGCGCGAACATATGTTCGTACATTTGTATTCAAATTCTTACATAATACTCTTAACAACGACAAAAACTATGAGGCGTTTAAACAACTCCATAAACGTTGGAGATATTGATACTCTGTTGAAAATGTTCTGAGCGTTTCAAATGCACAATCTACTCGTAATGAAAACCTACTGCTTCCATGAAATTATAAATTGTCTCTTTTGTATAGAGCTTTAGATACTGGAAAGAGAACAAAGAAATTCCCGTTTTTGAATCTGGGAGAAAGTCAAGGTATACGCCAAGAGAAGCGGTGGAAGTCATTGGTTGGCAAAGTTGTAAAAACCCACTTTGTGAACGTCATCCTTTACGAGTACGAAATTTCGCGGCAATTTGAATCCAGGCCTGTTGCCTGCAAGCTGACCGACTTTGGGGAAAGTCGCTCCCTGATTGTACACACCCAGTCGTTTGTTGCCTCATGAACAAACAACATTGATCGGGGGACAGTTGTGTATGAGGCACCAGAACTGTTTGTTTAAGAGATGCTCTTATCTGATGCGTCAATCGGTGATTTCATGCTGGCGGATATTTGGGCCCTGGGCATGATATTCTTTTCGATCATCAATCCAAGTGTCAAGTACCCCTATCGATCGGAGATCAGATCGGCGGGAAACGTATCAACACAAGATCAATTAAAGATTTTTATTTCTTCTCTTTTACGCCAAAAGAAACTTCCCCTGGCTGACGAAAAGTACGCTGTTGAACGCGCAACCGTCTGGAGAGGTTTAGAGGATGTATACAGAGGATGTGCAAACTTCGACAGAAATAGTCGGCTATCTTTAGAAGAAGCAGCCACAATCCTGAGTAGGGAGAACAAGAGGGTCTCAGACGATCTGGACGTTATGCACCTGAGAGTAAGTCAAGCAACAGCAGTGCAACAGTTTGACCACTGATTTGCAGTCCAACTGAAGGACAATGCCACTGATGAACCAGCTGAGCAGTCGGAGAATGCGTTAGATAACGACGGAACAAACGCATGTGCCTTTCTTTCTGTGAAAATCGCAGGCGTTATACTAAGTGAGGTGGTAACAGGGATCGCATTTTTCGTTGAGTTGGCCGAAGCTATTGAGAACACTATTTGGCAGCTACCGAAAATAATAAATGAGCATCGATACCTCCACAGAATGTACGACGCACTGGAAGCATACGGAATTCTGAGGGAACAGAAGGTAGTCACCTCTCTGTACGACTTCTCTGAGGAGTTGCCATTTGCTGACGCGGTTTTTTCATACGAAGGCAGACAAAAATTACACTCAAAGCTCTGCGATCTTGCATGTAATGACTTCCTGGCTGTCTTCACCTGTGAACCCT